AACAAATCCCACTGCTTTTGATTACTATACAAATTTTTAAAAAGAAATTCATAAACCCAGTATTAACAGGGATAAATACTGTTACTACTGGACTGCATTTTACTCTAGAAATGATTCTAAATGCATACATATGTAAACAGTGCATTATACTGTGAACTCACCTTTATACATTTAATGATTGCCAAAAAAAAAAAAATACTGAAATTTTACTATGTACTAGACACTATATTAAGTGCTTTATAAATACTATTTCATTTAAAGCACAACAACACTGTCAGGTAAATAACATTAACCCAATTATACAGTTGAAGTATTGGAGATCAAGGTCACAGCTAGCAAGTAGAAATGTCTAGCTCCAAACTTAGATCTGTCAACTCTGAATTTTAATTTTTACTATTTTTACTATTACATCTGATTTTTCCAAATAAAATTATATTTTAAACACCATTTATGACAATATTCACCTATTCACTTACAACAGTTTTATGTCTGACTAGTGTTCCATTTATAGGTTTTAAAAATATTTCACCATTCCTCTCTTGTTAGATATTTGAGTTTGGTTTTGTTTGTTTTCAATTTTCTGCCAGCATAAAATAACACTGCAATAAATATCTTTGTAGATAAATCTTGTTGCACATCCTCAATTTTTTCACCAGGATGAAATTTCTAGAAGTAGAATCATTGGGACAACGGCATGCAAAAAGTTTATGCTTTCAATAGTAATGCTAAATTTTCTTTCAGAAAAAAATATGCCTAATTAGATACCTGCCAACTATATATACCTGTCCCTGAGTCCTAAATCCTCATTAAGAACAAACAAACAAACAAATAAAATTTCAAACAACAACCTTTTCAATCATAGTATCATCTTAGATATAGAAGATATCTTAGGAATCATTTTTTCTAATCTATACATTCTGGATTTTTTTCATAGTGCATTCCTGATCTGAGATGTCTATCCTATATAATTTATAGGAAGTGGGGACAGAAAATAAAAAATGATTTTAAATAGCCCTAAACTACAAAACACGTTTATCTCTCAGCAATGAAATATTACCCAAACTATTCTAAAATTCTTCCAGAGTAAGAGAGTGTCACTGGAAATGAGAAAACCTTGGCAGACTTTCAACATACCTGACACAGGTCACAAAATGATAAAGATTTTTTGTTCATTCTCCACCTGGAATGGGTTTGCTCTAGGTGTTGGCAGCTAAGTACAAATCTCTTGCTCTATGCAGTTGAGCAACAGCTTGATTTTGTTTGCCTTTGGGAATTCAGCAAACAGAGGTGGAGTGGTCAGTGGGAGAAGATTGCTGCCTAGAAACAAAAATAAATTAGATAGTTTCACATTTCTAGGTCAGAGGGGCTGTGAGTATAGCTATACATGTCCTCTCCTCCCCCCAGACATAAAAATTTCACCACGGAATTTCTTTAATTCTAGAGACACTGGGATTTAGCTTTGTTTGAAGGAGAAAACGACCTTCAACTGTTAAGCTTTCCTTGAATACCCATTAGATACAAAACAATGCTGGATGTTGCAGTGGAAAGCACAAACACACAAAAAAGGTAATACTCATAGGTGAGTGAAGCAATAGAAATCTACAAAATATCTATAAATATGCAAGTTCTGCAAGTAATTGGCAAATACAACTGTGACAGCAAAGAGAAAGGAAAGATTATTTCTGTCTGCATTCTGCCTGGGGTAAGAAGTGCGGGGTAGGGGTGAACAAGTCTAAAAAAAGGTGGTATTTGTAAATGCTAGGAAGGCCAGTTCCACTGTACTAAATTATTTTGTTTTCGTTTTTGATGCAGATCTGATCGTTTTGATCATGAAATAAGAACATTACTAAATCAATAATTTGCTTTAATTTAAAAACACGCACACACTTTTTAAGAGGCCTATAGACTTCATTTCGTCTGCACATTCATAGTTATCCCTGAAGAAGAGGAAAAATTAAATTCTTCTAACACCTTCTGCTTTGCAAAACCAGACTGGTTGGGGTTAGGGATCAAGGGCCATGACTCAGTCCCAAAACTTTAGGCTTCAGGAACTGCAGGGGATCATTCTGGGGTCTGATCATGGAGCCTTCAGTAGGGACATCCCACTTTATTCATCCTCCCCACAAAATAGCCTAGTGCAGTACTTGGCACCCAATAGGCAATCATTTGTCGATTGCATTTTAAGTATCTTCCTTTTCCCCCATTAGAGGACAGTCAACCCAACCATGTTATGCTTCTTCTGCCAGCTTAATTTAGCTCTGATCTCAGTACTTAGGAAAACAGAAGAAAGAGTGGGGCTGTGTAGCATCCTGAGAGTGGAGCTATGCAAGGGGGTGTGAGGAAGGAAGAAGGCGAGGGCGGCAGAGGGGGCTAATACTCCCACCTCAGCTCATCTCCTCCCGCAGCAAACGCTCAGCCTCCGCCCTCTCTTTCCATTCCGGACCCCCACCCGGGAGGTGAGAGGGCAGCGCCAGCGAGGCGGTGGCAGGGCTCTGTCACGTTCATTCCCTGCTGCTTTTCTAGTCCCCAGTTTCCTCGCCCCTCCTCCCTCCTCCCCAGCCGAGGTTTGGAGGTGATTCCCCTTTAGTGACTGAGCCGATTGCTTCTGGACGAACGGCGCTTCGCCTCTCTAGCGTCTTTGTCTCCTCCTCCTAAGAGGCTCTGGGGCCCGGCGCAGGGTCTGCAGCGGCCGCCGCAGCAGCTGGAGCCAAGCCGTGCCCTACGCGGCGGCGGGGAGCCGCACCCGCGCTGGGTGGAGGCGCGGGAGGACGCCAGCCGAGCCACGCACTGCCCCGCCGCGTCCCGCGCTCCAGCCGCCGCGTACCAACGCCG